AAAAGCCAATGAGGCTCCAAAGGCTGCTGCATAAACTGACAACATTTATTGACTGCATATGAAATCTCAGGTCTAGTTATGGTAGCATATTGGAGAGCTCCAACAATTGTCCTATAGGCAGTGGCATCCGCAACTGGTTCACCCTCCACTTTAGACAGCGTGAGATCGGGTGGCATAGGTGTATCTACTCCTTTACCGGGGCATGTTAACAGAATTAGTTAGATAGAAGTCTGTTAAGAGTTAGTTACAAGATTCCCTCCATAAGTTGGTTACATCCAGCTGTACTTGTATCTATAAATATAGTGACCTCTCTCTCAGAAATGTATGTAATGAATTCTCCCTCCATATGTTCATTTAGGGCTCTCTACTCATTCCTTCTATCTTGAATGTTCTTTATGTTTCTCAGAGGCATGGGTAGCACTGTGAGTTCATGGGGGTCCCAAAGGGTTGAACCAATATACATTTTGACAAGAGTTGAGATGGACACTGTGTTGGGGACTCCTTTTGTAGTATAACTTAGCGTGAGGAAGCGCAGAGTTCAACGATTGCAATAACTTGCTCAATTCTATCATAGAAAGTTGTGTATCTCTTTGTTGACAACTTGCATTTAGCCATCTATTTGGGAGTGGTAGGAGCTGTTGAACTTGAGCTTGGTGTTTAGTTTAGCACACAAGTATCGCCAGAAGTGACCAATAAACTTGAGCTTGATGGGTTCTAGGATCTTGTGTGGCCTAAGCACTTCTCTGATCATGTATTATGCTACATGCGTCGCATTACTAGTCTTATTGTAGAGGATGAAATGCACCATTTTGGAGAACCGATCGACCACAACCAAGATACTATTAGTGCAATGCATATTGTGAGAAACACCAAGAATAGAGTCCATGCTGATGTTTAACCAAGGCATGAAGGTATTGGAAGAAGATGATAGAGGCCTGCATTCGAAGCCCCCCCTTGGAGGTTTGACAAATTCTACATCGCTTGACAAGCCTGTCCACATCGTGCTTCAGTTTTGGCTAATAGTATTGTTCTATGATGAGAGCATAGGTTTTATTGTGCCCCAAGTGGCCTTCAATGTATACTTCCTACAAAATCATCTGACACTAGTGGCAATTAGGTACACAAAACCCATTATACTTGAACAAATTGCCATCATGTAGGTGATAACTAGTATGTTCACTATTATAGGTAGAAAGGAAAACAAAAGAAAAATCTAGATCATCAACATACATATCCCTAAAGTAATTGAAGCCAAACACTTCCTCATGTGACATTAGGATGAGGGCTACATGATGGCTTAGTGCATAGGCGTGTCAACGGTATTCAAAAATTTGATTTCAAATTTGATATTTGACATAATCGAATCAAATTTGGACAATTCAAATATTTAATTGGTCGAATTCGGATATGACCTTATTTGATTTGATAAATATCCGAATTCGATCCATTATTTAATTCTTATATATAATATATAAATTATTTTATATAATTTATATATAATAATTTATATCAATAAAATATTTATTAATTATCTAAAATAATTAATTAATCAAATTTGAATCAATTTTTTGAATATTCAAATATTTAATCGAATCAAATCGAATTCAGATATCGGATTTTCTAATCGGATTCAAATTCAGATTTTGCCTGATCAGATTCAAATTCGATCCGTTTACACCCCTGTTAGTGCATCAACCACCATTTCACCTGCCTTATGTTGTAGGAAGAAGGTAAACTCTTGAATGTAACTAACCCACCTAGCATATCTTGCGTTGAGATGTGACTGTGGGATTAGGTTTTTTAGGCTTTAGGGTCGAAGTAAAGAGCAAACTCAAAAGAGATTAGGTTCTGTCGCTAGTGCTTAAGAGCTCAAACAATTGCGAGGAATTCAATGCCATAGGTGTTGTAGTTGAGCTGAAGTATGCGATAGGGTGCTTGCACTACATTAGCACTACTCCAATCCCAATCTTGGATGCATTACATTTGAACTTGAATAAAACATTGAAATCTAGGAGTGCTAGGAATGGTGTTCTGGAAAGCTTTTCCTTAACTTTGTAGAAGTGGCAATTTGTGTTGCATCTGTCCTCTAGAACTATGATTTGCTCTTCATGAAATTTGTGATGGGAATCATGATGGAACTGAAGTCCTTGATGAATCACCTGTATAATGAGGTGAGTCCATGGAAACGTTAGAACTTGTGCAGATTCTTTGGTACGTGTTAGCCAATCAAAGGTCACTGCAACCTTGGGTTCATCTATTCTGACTCCTTCCATGGGTAACTCAAAGCTGAGGATGATCAATTTTGGTTGTATGAATGACCACTTCTTCAAATTAGTGAAAAGCTTCTCTATGCTCAATACATCAAGAACTTCACATGGATGTTGCATGTGGTCATCAATGTTCCTATTATATACAAGAATATCATAAAAACATGTAACTATAATTTTTTTTGAAGAAAATGTTGGAGGAGATGAGTCATCACCCTAATGAAGGTGAATGGAATGTTGGACAAACCAAAAGGCATGACTACCATTCATACAAGGCTTCCTTAGTCTTGAAGACAGTCTTCCACTCATCACTGGGCCTGATGTGAATTTGGTGGTAGCCACTCTTGAGGTCAATTGTGTTGAACATATAGTGGGCCTAGTTTAGTTGGTCCAACATCTCTTCAAGTCGAGGTATGGGGAAGTGATACTTGAAAGTGATCTTGTTGATGACATGACTATCCACACACAAGTGCGAGGAACCATCCTTTTTAGGGACTAACAGTGTGGGTACAACGCACAGTCTCAAGATGGGTTGAATATATCCCCTCTCGAGTAGTTCATTGACTTGTCACTGCAACTCATCATGTTCCCTAGATTGAGTCAGTAATGGGGCTGATTTGAAATGGTTGTGCTGAGAATCCCTCTGGTAATCCCTCTGGTAGCTCTTTTGTAAACAAATGTGCATACTCTTCTACTAAGGGTTGGAGTTGCCCTAGAATAGTGATGGGTGCTTTGGTCGAACTTGCAACTAAGGCAAGCATCACTCCTCATCACACTTCATACTCTAATTCCTTGCATGATAGGAGTGTTGTTACGACTCTAGAGGTCTTTTATGAACTACATTGAGGTGGTGACGGTCTTGACATGAACTTCACTACTTCCTTCCAAAAACTATAAGTGTTGGTTCATCCATCGTGCACAATAGTTCGATCATATTGCTAGGGCCTTCTTAGATGTAAGTGACATGCGTCCATCTATATCACATTACACCATACTTGGTTAGTATAGAACTTACCCATGGTGAATTAGGTCGAACGACGTTGGGACACTTTTACTTCAACACCCTTCTTCAACCCGTGGGGCGAATAAGGATGTGGGTGCATTGAGTTGGTAAACACAATTTTCTCATGACAACTTTTGAGACAGTGTTCTTACAACTACCACCATCAATGATAACAGTACACACCTTCCCCACCAATGAGGCAACTAGAGCAGAAGATATTAGTGTGGAGCCAATCTTCTTAGTTCTAGGGAGCTAACAAACTCCTACAAACAACAATGGCCTTACCTTCAATGTCACCATCAACAAATTCAACATGTTCTCCATCATCATATTGTAAATCCTTTGGCTAGGGATCATCGAACATCATGTGCATGAGTTTACTACTATTGGTGTTTTGTCCTACATTGTTGCACCTTATGCAATAGATGTTTCTTGGAGTATCTAATCACATTGGAGGCCTAGATGCAGATGCTATATCGGGAGCTAAAGGGTTAATTCATCATAGGCTTGGGATTCTGCAATGTGGAAGTTGTATTGGGGGCGACTCTAGGCTTGATAGTGCAGTAGAACTGGGGTTGTGACCATAGCTTCTCCATTTTCCACATGATTTGTTAGACATTAGAGATGGAGTAGATGTCAGTTGCAACCAAAAGTTGTTATTGTAGAGCTGGTTTAGGCCTCTTGATGTAGCTAGTGACTATGATCTCCTTGGGCTCTTAGAGACTCATTCACACAAACAACAATTAATGAAACTTGAAGGTGTACTCATTGATGGACTTGCTACCTTGTCGAAGTGATTGTAGTTAGATGAAGAGGCTTTGTTGGTAATCAGGTGGAAGGAAACTCTCTTATCATCTTGGCCTTCATGGCCTCCCACATTCTAATTTTATGCTTGCCTTGCTGGCGGCAAGTCTAGCAGTGGCTATCCCACCAAGGCAACATACGACCTCGTAACTTGAGGAAGACTAGGGGAACCTTCTTCTATTTGGGCACTGGCTTGTAGTCAAAAAATTTCTCTACACTGCTTATCCAATCCACAAATTCTTTTAGGCGAATAGTTTTTATAAGCATAGATATCTTATACTTGATTCCATCATCCTAGTGTTGAGGGTGGCGTCTTTCGGCCACTTCTGCTATATAGTGTTGGTGGTGGTGATGGCCACACTAAGGTGACTCTCTTGAGGAAGACATTGAAGTGACTTCTAGATCTTTTAACTCCAGTTGGTGAGGAGATTTGGGAATAAGAGCTGCAGACTAGCGGCTACTTTTATACCTCAGAGCTCAAGAATCATTTTAGAGAGCTGTTGGACCTGAGTCATGATGTTGTCAAGTCGATAATTAATGTTGGTTATTTTGTCTTCATGGTCTTGTAGCGATGAGTTCCTATTCATACCTCGAATAGAGATTTCTTCGTTGAAGTGTTGTTTACACCTAAAAACCATGGAAACTAGCTTTGATACTAAATGGGGTGGCCAATACTTAGTAAAGGAGTAAAAGTCGCAGAGATGGCCGATGACAACATCATTAGATCTTTGGCTTTGCAACCCAACAAGGTTCAACAACTTCAACCTCTATTGAAGTAGGTGGTCAAAGGTTTTATCTTAGTGGCTTTGTGACGCCGTGTGACGCACTTGACCGGGCGGATTATACCAGCACCGAACGACCGAGCGGCTTCGTTCGAGAAGCCTTACGTAAAGACTAAGCGTAGCCTTAGTCAAAGGTTTTATCTGCTATCGACACACATCCTCCAACTCCCATCTTTCTTCGGTGTTAATAATGCCGGTACTACGCATGGACTCATGCTGACTTGGATGTGCCCCTTTTCTCAATAGTTTTTCTATCTTCTCCTGTAAAATCTCGTTCTCTTTAGGACTCATTCTGTAGTGTGGTAGATTAGGTAGGCTAGCACCAGGAACAAAATCAATGTGTTGCTGGATGTCTCGCATGGGTGGAAGCTCATTGGGTAACTTGTCAGGAACTACATCATGAAACTCGTCGAGCAGTCCCTGTACTTCCACTGGGATTTTGTTCTCCCCTAGTGGTTCACTCATGCTCTCCCCTTTTATAACCAGTAAGTGGACCTCGCGGGTATCCTTACATTCCCTTACAAATTTAGAGTGGCGATGTGTTATGGTAAGAAAATTTCTCTCCTCTGCCTTTGAAGCCTTGGTTTGGTTTTTTTCTGCCATAGGTAATAGTGTATAGCGCACACCCTTTTTCTTGAGCTGGTATGTGTTCTTCCTACCCAGGTGTTTGGCATCTACATCAAACTGCCATGGCCTACCAAGCAAAATATGGCAAGCATCCATATCCACAATTTCACAATAAACCTCATCAGTATACTTACCAATAGAGAATGGAACCTTACAGCGTTCCTCCACACGTACGCCCCCAACTTCCTTGATCCAACCAATCGTGTAACGGTTCGGGTGTTTCTCAGGAATTAGTTGCAGTTTTCGTACCACATCCCTGCCGATAATATTTTCCTGACTGCCGCTATCAATAATTAATTCAAATAACTGACCCTGTACCGTACACCTAGTGCGAAACATCCGGTGTCGTTGTGTGGTATCTTTGCTTCTCTGATATAGCATTAGCTTCCTCACAATGCACGTGTACTCTTCATGATCATAGGTACCTTCTTCGTCCTGTCCATCGGGTCCACAATATACTTCGTCGTCACCAACTTCTTCCTCATCCCTCTCCACCATGTTAACTACCTTTCTTCTGGGACAGTCACTAGACCTATTCCCAACTTCATTGCACTTGAAGCACTTAAAAGGAGCAGGTTTTGCATAGGGATTAACGACTTTAGGAGGGTTTGAAGTATTACCTCGAGTGTTTCCTCCCGTGGCGGTCTTACTGGCGTTAGCTACACTCAGCAGATGGTACGGTTGTGCTCCTTGGGTTGGTTTTCCCTTGTCAACTGCTGCTGGCCTATTGTCGCTCCCACTATACCATCGATAGTTATCGGCTCGGGTCCTCACTTGGAACAATAACTCAGCCTTCAGAGTAAAGTTCCTTGCTTCCTGCACGCTCAGAACCATCTGGACGCCAATCTTGTCTCGGATAGCAGGTTTCAAACCACTCAAATAACGAGCTGCCTGTTGATTGTCACTTTTTGATAACTGGTTTCGTTTAGCCAATCTCAGAAATTCTGAGGTGTACTCGTTCACGCTTCTTGTTCCCTGCGCACACCGTTGATATGACTCAAACATATACTGCTCATAATCAGGAGGTAAAAACCTACCTCTTATTAATTGCTTCATACGTCTCCATGTTCGAATTGGACCTCTTCCTTCTCTGATCCCGGTCTCCCTTATTCGTTCCCACCAGACAGATGCTCCTCCCTTCAATCGAAAAGCTACTAATTTCACCATTATTTCTTCCGGGATCTCCATGTACTCGAAGAAGGTCGACCTCGGTGATCCAATCAAGAAGGCCCTCTATATCCAGATCTCCACTAAAAGTAGGAATATCCACTTTGATTTTAAATTCATCATTATTCCGACGGTGATTAAAATTGCTGGGATTTCGCCAATTCCTACCGATTCTACCATCACCAGGAATAACTGGAGCAACGCCGAATTCTAGCTTGTCGTTGCTATCATCATCAAGAATAGGGTTCCTGGGTATAGGATCGATGATTGGTCTACCGTGGTCGTCTCCTCTGGCTTGGTGCAATGCGTTATCCCTATTCCTTGGAACATCCTCTCGTAACAAAGTCCATAGTTGTCCAGCGACCTCTGCCAACTGTTGCTCAATGTTACGAGTGTTTGTACGCTGCTTTTCGATTGCTCTCCAAACACTTGCAACCCCTGATCTCCGTCACGGGGTTGGTTGCGACTGCTACCGTCTTGATTGGCCATCTGACTGGGCGAACTACCGCTCTGATACCACCTGACGCAGCGTGACACACTTGACCGGGCGGATTATACCAGCACCGGACGACCGAGCGGCTTCATTCATGAAGCCTTACGTAAAGACTAAGCGTAGCCTTAGTAGAGAGAGGAAAAGTGGCGAAGGAATTCTTGTATATCTCTATTAAACTCAGAATAGAATTATTTATAATACATACTGGTAGTCTTGTAGAATAACTAGGAAATTTAAACTTGTAAAACAACTAAAACAACTAGGAACTGGACTTGACGTCCATTGTCCGATAGCCACCATCATCCAATGCATGTTGGATACGTGAGCTGTCGACATTATCCGCTGCATGGTTCTCTCTAGATGTCATTATCCGATGCATGTTCCCCTCTAGTTGTGAGCTGTCGCCGGCTGGTTCGGTGGGTCGTGAGCTGGACCTCCATCTCTTTGAAACAAGTCCAACCGGAGCAAGGAAGAAGAAGAAGCACTATGGGACTAGAAAAGAAAATACCTCAAGCTCAATTTCAATTGATAAAAGGTGCCTAAAACAACGCTTGGCTGAACTTATACAATGCCGAGAGAGAAAGGAAAAACATTAGAATTTTGGTGCTCAACTTGTATCCCAAAATAAGCAAGAAAAAGAGGTGGTTGGTACAAAAGACTATCAAGAGCTAAAACTGGAAATGATAGTTAACAACATTAGGAGGGGAGAAAATCTGGGTGTTAGAGAAAGTTTCATTGCGGTTATTGTCTTCATTACAACTACTATTATCATCTCTGTGCTGAAGGCTTGCAATGTTGTGTTGGGGATCCACAATGATGCATTGAGTGCTTTGTGCCACATCAAATTAGAATTTAGAAAATACCAAATTCCACCTATATTACATATTGGTGATAGTCCAAAGTGGAACAAAATGAACTATGAAAATTTAAAACAATCTTGAAATACAAAACTATGGTACCATGATACCAATCTTTTAGTTAAGAGGGGGAGAACTTTAAGCAAGAATATTTTGCAATTCAAGCCATGGAATAATTTTAACAAGAAACTAGGGAGAAAAGAGGATTCAATCCACAAATTACATGTACTAATATCCTAAAAGTATCTTTTCAAGGTGCTGACCGCCCTTGAAAATCACATATCCAAACCCCAAAATTAACCCTTCTCAACCGAAATTGATGCAAATATACAAATAAAGAAAGAAGCACAGTAACCTTTGGAACTACCTTGTTAAGGAAGCATAGGCACTTCTATGTTGCAGTGGAAGAAAAAAGTAAAAAAGAAAAAAAAGTTATTTATTTAATAAAATAGGTCCCCAAGAGGTACCTAATTAATTATGTGGTTTAATTACTTACGGAAAAAATGTTTGAGGCCACACTTGAATATCCAGGCAAACCCTGTTTAATTTCCATTAATATTTGTTTGAGAGATAATGAAAACCTTCTACTGAACAAGTTTTAAAGAGTGAGACTAATTTCTAACACCGCATACATGAGACATAAAAGTAACTGCAAGAAAAAATGATTAATGAAAAAGTTATTAAGAGAGGAGAATACAAGATGGTGATAGATTCTGCACTGCACAAGTTTCATAGGGGGTTTGAGGGAACTCGATATAAACTTCAACATTTTTAGTTTAGGTTAACTACAACTAAATAAAAATTATTGGAAACTTTGGAAACATTAGGAAATATCTGGAATTGTTATATGACATTTGAAAAATTTTTAAAAAGTCATTAATTTGTAACTTATTTTTTTTTTTAGTTTTCATAAACTAGATATATAATGAGGAATTTAAGGCAAGTATTATTAAGTAATCATTATGGGCTCACATTCAAGAAAAAGTATCTAAGGCGAATGATTTATTTTGTGTGTATTTCTTTTTATATCAATTAGAAGGTAGGAAAACTATAGAGAGCTTGGACTCAAGGCAATATCCAAAAGTAGATAATTTATATATATTGTAGAGTCATTTTTATGAGGTTATAGGGCTTGTTTTAAGTGGCCACTTTGTCACTATTTAAATTTTGAAATGGAACATTGAACCATGTTTGCTAAGTTATGGTTTTGTCTATGAACCCTGATATATTATACATCTTAATTAAGGTAAAGGGCTTCCAAATATAACATTCAAAACAAATAAAACAATAACCATATCAACCATGCAAACACCATAGCTGGTATTGCAATTAAAATTTGACCAGTAGATAAAGAGGAGGCTAGGGGATGAACTGAGGTGAACGGTTAAACCGTGCTGCTTCCCGAGACCTACAAAAGGGGAGAGTCTTGAGGTATGTTCCTAAGGTGAGCTCTCTGAAGCTTAAGTCAGTGAGCAAGGAGGCTGGTTAATGAGGAAAGAAGGATGTAGGGAGGTAGAAAGTGTTGTATATTGCATACTTTTTTTTTTTTTAGGGAGGGCGAATTATATATAAGAAATATTTTGTGCTCGTTGAGGAGTCCTAGCTAGTCCTGTAGGGAGATGACTACCGAGTCGTATAGGTGGTCGGGCTAATAGCTCATTGGGAGTTCTTTGCTCAATCTAGGACATGTGGCAGAACGCACTTGGGCTGCATGTATGGGCCTCATCATTTGCACCCTCTTTCGGGACCAGGGCTTGCCTTGCTACTCGGGTAGTGGGAGGTCTACTTGGTTGAAGAAAGTAATGTTTTTGGATGACAAAATGGTTAGATTCAAGCTATGCCAACATTTTGTGGATAGGAAATCATTTCCTCATATGGGCTGTGGACTGCATGCACTATCTCAGGGGCCACGTTACTTCTACTTGTACGGTTGGCATGGGTGTTTCTCATTAATGCATTGCTTTAACTTAAGAGGTGTTTTGTCAAAGCAACCCCTAGATCAAGGGAGATGTGGCATTAGTTAGACCAAAGTAAAATCTAAATTGTTGGTGGCAAGTTGATCTAAGTTATTAAGGACCCTTTAGAACTAGGAGTCCTGAACAATTGGGGCTTTGCCATTTGCTTCTTGAGCTTAGGTGAGTAAAGCGAAGAGAGGCTACGTAGGAGTTTGGCTCGGTGCTCAATGACATCCTTGGTCTAGGAGATCAGTTTACAAGTTCCTTTTCCTTTTCCTCTTCTTATTCTGTCCTAATCTAATTCTAGTTATAGTTATTCCGGTAATGGGTCCGAGAATTCTAGCTTGGTGATGGAGTTGGCTAGTGACTAGACCAACTTAGTTAAGGAGACCGTTACGGATGAGATTAAGAAGACTAAGGCCTATAGTCACTGAGTTAGGGGGTGAGGCTACTTTTGAAGTCATGACAAGGAGGCCAAGCTTTGGAGACTGGAGGAGGGATGTGGATCTTGAGTCTGGTCTAGGGGCTAAGAACAAGGATACTGAGGCCAGTTACTCCCTTGCTAGGGGTGAGCTTGCCCAGAGACCAAGTTGAGGAATTTGAGGATGAGGATGCCGAGGTAGACATAGTTGGCGTGGGCTTGGACAAGGGCATTCCTACGGATGGATCCTTAGGCTCGGTCATCCATGTGATCGAGGAGCTAATCGGGGAAGGTGCTTGGCTTATTAGGAGTGCCTTGAGGCAGAGAGATAGTGAGGATATGGGATAATATCACTTACCTGAGAAGTTTCAGATGAGGATGTCGACCAAGGAGTAACATCCCTATTAGTCCCTTACGGGTTGGTCATACGTATAGGGGGTTAGCCTTAAGGATAGGTTGTGGTTCCCAATTGATGAATAAGTAGCTTAAGTCTTGATGGATCATCGAGTGGTCATTTCTCAGTTGGTCCTGAACTTTGTGAGGTTTGTTATATCTGCAATCTATGTAGTTCAGATCCATTAGTGTGGCTCCTTAGGTGATGGAAAGGTGGTTGTTTGTGCCAAAGTGGTTTGTTGTTGTTATTGATGTCAACTCCATGAGGAGTAGGCGAGTGGCCAAGGTGTTGGCCTAGGGGATCTACCTTCCCATGGATTGGAAGGAGGCTAGATCTTTCTCAATTGAGGTTCTTTAGCACTACACCTATGCAAAGGTAATTGAGGTCAGTAAGCTTTCCTTTTATTCATTCGCGGTTTTCCATTTGTTTTTTTCCTTTTCATCTTAAGTGATCGCCTCTTATAGGGCATCTTCACTATGAACACTATATATGACTGCCTTGTTAGATGTCAATGCAATTTAGTGAGATGCTAAATGAGGAGGAAGCTTAGGCTAGCAAAGGCAACCACAAAAAGGGTTTGGATGATAGAAGAGAAAGTTTGGGAGGTTGAGCGAAAGGTTGTTAATCTCAAAGCTCGATTAGTTAAGGGAGGGGTCTGTGTCATAGCTACTTATAAGGAATTAAAGGGCCATTAGGATACCTTGAATGAGTATGAGGTGATCACCTTCATATGGATGGGTTCTCATTGTGTGGGGTGAAGATTGCCAAGCATTACTTTGACCTCAATCTCAGGTTTTTGGATGTTTAGGCCACCCTGGTGGAGTATCTTGTTGCTAAGGAGGCAGCCACATCGAGGACTGACGACATACCCCCTAGTGTGTTGTGATTCCTCTCTTTTCCT